CCATGCTAGCCTGTGGATGTGAGGCTGGGGTCCACTCTGACCTCAGACTCTTCATCTTTCCATCTTTCTCTCTGTCTGCCAAGATGCTGTGCCCTGAGCTATTATTACCCTCATCCCCAACATGCCAGCCTGTGGATGTGAGAGGCTGGGGTCCACTCTGACCTCAGACTCCTCACCTTTCCATCTTTCTCTGTTTACCCTGCTGCAATCCCCCTCTCCCCAACCTCCGCGGGCCTGGCCCAGGACAAGCACGCGCTCCTGGATGTGACCCCCTCCGCCATCGAGCGCCTCAACTATGTGCAGTACTACCCCATCGTGGTCTTCTTCATGCCCGAGAGCCGGCCAGCCCTCAAGGCGCTGCGCCAGTGGCTGGCGCCTGCCTCCCGCCGCAGCACCCGCCGCCTCTACGCACAAGCCCAGAAGCTGCGCAAACACAGCAGCCACCTCTTCACAGGTGTGGGGCTGGGTGTCCCAGGGTAGGCGGGTGGGCCCCAGCCTGAGTCTCCCGCGCATACTAATGTCTCCTCCTACAGCCACCATCCCTCTGAACGGCACGAGTGACACCTGGTACCAGGAGCTCAAGGCCGTCATTCGAGAGCAGCAGACGCGGCCCATCTGGACAGCGGAAGATCAGGTACTGCCGTGGTGAGGGTGGGTCGGGGACAGGGGGGCCCCACAGACCCTGTGCAGGCCCAGCTGGGGTTTGGGGCCTCTGTCGGGAGTTAGGTTTTGCTCAGGGGTCAGGATTCTGGCCAGAGTCAAGATGGGACCTGAGACAAGGGTGTTGGAGTGGAACTTGGATGAGATGAGATTGGAGGAGCTGTTTTTTGTGGTTGTTTGATTTGAGATGGAGTCTCACTATGTCACCCAGGCTGGAGTGCAGTGGTGTGGTCTCAGCTTGCTGCAACCTCTGCCTCCTGGGTCCAAGTGATTCTCCAGCCTCAGCCTCCCGAGTAGCTGGGACTACAGACGAGCGCCACCACGCCCAGCTAATTTTTGTATTTTTAGCAGAGACAAGGTTTCACCATGTTGGCCAGGCTGGTCTCGAACTCCTGACCTCAGGTGATCCACCCGCCTCAGCCTCCCAAAGTGCTGGGATGACAGGCCTGAATCACTGCGCCCGGCCTGGAGGAGCTGTTTTGAGAGAGAGCCGAGTCTTCTCTTGGTGCTGGAGTCAAGCTTTAGGACTCAGCTTGGATTTGGGGGCTGAGCCTCTCAGGTGAAGGGTCAATGAATACAATTAATCCTGGAGTCAACAGTGAAGCCTCCACTGAGGCTAGAGGCTCCAGGATCGTCTCGATTTGGGACTGGAGTTTGAAGGTGGGGGGTGTCGTGGGTGGCGGCTGGGGTCCTGGCCGGGGCTAGCCGCAGCATCCACACCCACCCCACAGCTGGAAGGCTCCTTGGAGGACAACCTAGACCTCCCCCACCGCGGCCTGGCCGACAGCTCCGCTGACCTCAGCTGCGACAGCCGTGTTAACAGCGACTACGAGACAGACGGCGAGGGCGGCGCGTACACAGACGGCGAGGGCTACACGGACGGCGAGGGGGGGCCCTACACAGATATGGATGATGAGCCCCCGGCTCCAGCCCTGGCCCGGTCCTCGGAGCCTGTGCAGGCAGATGAACCTCAGAGCCCAAGGGATCGTGGGAGAATCTTGGCTCATCAGGGGGCCCAGGTGCGTGGGGCATGGGGGGCAGTCCTGGGAAAGGTCTCTGGCAGGGACGCTGGCACAGAGTAGACACACACTGGGGAGCCTGTTTTCTACCAGGACGCCAACAAACCGCTTCCCTGGTCAGATCGGTTTCCGGGACTCAGACCTCGGGTAGCTAAGAGCCACGTGGCACTGAGCAACTTGCAGCCATTTTTTTTTTTCTTTTTTTTTGAGACGGAGTTTCGCTTTTGTTGCCCAGGCTGGAGTGCGATGGCGCCAACTCAGCTCACCGCAACCTCCGCCTCCCGGGTTCCAGCGATTCTCATGCCTCGGCCTCCTGAGTAGCTGGGATTACAGGCACGCACCACCATGCCTGGCTAATTTTGTATTTTTAGTAGAGACAGGGTTTCTCCTTGTTGGTCAGGTTGGTCTCAAACTCCCAACCTCAGGTGATCCGCCCGCCTCAGCCCCCCAAAGTGCTGGAATTACAGGCGTGAACCACTGCACCCGGCCTAATTTTTTTTGTTTTGAGTTAGAGTTTCGCTCTGTCGCCCAGGCTGGAGTGCAGTGGCATGATCTCGGCTCACACCAGCCTCGGCCTCCTGTGTTCAAGCAATTCTCCTGCCTCAGACTCCCAGGTAGCTGGGATTACAGGCGAGCACCACCATGCCCAGCTATTTTTTTTTTTTCTTAAGGTATTCTTAATAGAGACAGGGTTTCACCATGTTGGCCAGGCTGGTCTCCAATTCCTGACCTCAGGTGATCCACCTGGGCCTCTCAGAGTGTTGGGATTACAGGCGTGAGCCACCGCACCTGGCCTCCAGCCAACATTTTAACCTCTCTCTGCACCTGTTTCCTCAGCTAGGCCACAGGGTGGATGGTATCAGACTTGGTGGCACAGGGCAGTGGCGAGCACTCAACGTACTCAGCCCAAGTCTTGGCACATAGTAGTTGCGTGTTTTTTTGAACTTGCCCTAACTTACCTAATTTATGTATTTTACTTGTTCAATTTTAGAGATAGGGTCTTGCCCTGCTGCCCAGGCTGGAGTGCAGTGGTGCAATTATAGTTCATAGCAGCCTCCAATTCCTGAGCTAAAGGGATCCTCTCACCTCAGCCTCCCGAGTAGCTGGGACCACAAGCACGCACCATCACCCATGCCCAGCTAATTTTTTTTTTTTTTTTTTTTTTTTTTT